TCGTACACGGTATTCTCCTTGCTGCTCAGCTCCCACCACCCGCCGCCGCCACCACTCAGGCACCCGCCCGCCGCCGCCGCCGCCGCTCGAGCCCCCGCCTGCCGCCGGCTCATGTCAAGGGGAGAGAGAGAAATATGGGGGAGAGGAGGAAGAAGGGTAGTGAGAGAGAGGATGACATGTGGGACCCACATGTCAGTGGTGCCCATAATTTTTTTTGTGTAAATGACAAATGGGCTCCGCTTATATTTTTTAATTTTAATGTCACATAAGCGCCACGTCAATGTCACGTGGAAAGAAGACCAAGTCAACACTGCCACGTGTACGCCATGTCAGCAAAACCGCTCTCCAAAACCACCAAGGGAGTCAAATTGTACCGGTTTTGTAAGTTCAGGGGTCAAGATTTCTGGTATTGAAGTTGAGGGATATGATTTAGATTCGGTGGTCAGTTGGGGGAGTCAAAGTGATCTTATTCCCCATTTTTATAGATGTACAACGGGTGTTAGCGCTAGCTTATGGCCTGGCGCTGAGATATTGGGCCTTAGTGCCAAGGCTCATGGCGTTAAAGTAGCAGTCTATTTTCAGCTATAGTTTTTGTCACCATCTAGTTATTATATAATAAGTTTATTAAAAGGCCTAAATTGTCAAAAATGGTTGGTCTTATATTTTATACATCCCTCTTTATGTTGGTTGGTTTAAATTGAACTGACCAAAATTATACAGTTGGATACTACTGCCTCCGATCCGTTTCATATAATAAGGTGTTTAACTTTTTTCCTAATTAAATTTAATCAAATTTATTGAAAAAATATAGTAGTATTTTGAACAAAACAAATATATTATCAAAATATATTCAATGTTAGCTTTAGTGAAAGTAATTTAATATTTTAGATGTTGTTAGATTTTTATATAAATTTGGTCAATAAAGTTTGACTAGAAAAAATTTCAAATGATTTAAAATATATAGAACGGATCGGGAGTAGTATTTTTGGACCAAATCCATATTCCACGCATATGCGTGCGCTTCCAAAAGAAGTTTCATTTGTATGGAGAGAGGTAGAGATAGAGAAATTTCCTTTCAAGAGTAATTAAGAGAGGGCGATGATGTGTACATATATGCACGTGAAGGCTGGACTGATTATTGATGACGGACGTAAGTTAAAGGATTATATTAATTAGAGAGTTAGCAGCAGAAAGAGAGCTATCAACAGGAATAAAAATCTTGTAGCTGGCTATAGACAAGTAGCTAGCCTAGTAGGTTGAATCGATCGATCGATTTAGCAAGACAGACAATCAGAGAATCTATATATCTACTCCTAGATTGGTGTAGTAGGTCAGGCTTGGTAGCACATGCGCGCAAGTCCCAGCGGGCGGGCATATGATCGAGTGTATATATATACACACATACAGATACAGTTACTCCAGGAAATTGATCGAGCAGGCAAAAACCAAGTGAATCGATCGGTCGCACACACAAAAACTAGCTAGTACAATGGCTGAAAGGAGGAGCAATATGATGATGATATATGGTTTTAATTTGTTGATCGTTGCTGCGGCTGTACGGTCGTCGTCGTCGAGCATTCTCGGCGACGCGACGGTCGTCAGCACCGACGACCGCTGGGTACGGAGGAGGCTCCTGCTCATCGATGGGATGGTGGACGGCAAGCGGATGAGGAAGACCGTGGTCGTAGCGAAGGACGGCACGGCCAATTTCACGACGATCACCCAAGCCTTGGGCGCAGCGCCGCCGAGAGGCAGGTTCGGCATCTTTGTGAAAGCAGGGGTTTACGAGGAAACGGTAAATATTACCAGACCAAATGTTGTGCTTTGGGGAGAGGGCATCGGCAAAACCGTGATTACTGGAAGCCGCTCTTGCCCCATAGAAAATAATAAGACCAAGACCGACATGATGCCTTGGACGGCCACAGTCAGTAAGTGCATATATACTACTCCTTTATATACATACTCAACTGCATACTCATTTTGGTATCATCCCGCCACTGGTAGACCGTAGACGAATTAGCTAGCGTAGACTTTTATTTTAATCTATATATATATATGCTCCTATATGTTAATAAAGCTTAGGTCTAAGCTACGGACTAGTATAATTCACACCCACCGTCCCAAATTACAAGGGCTCCTATATGTTTTTTACACATATGGTATATATGTGATCGTTTTTTCTTAAGAAAACATATATTAATTAATAAAGGGTTATAATATCAACACATCATACATTACTAAACTATATATTTTCAAATATTAACATATATATAATGATAGACATGCATGGCATTAAAAGATATTATTAGCTTGGTGATTTGTTAAATATTCCAATTGTTTTACTTCCATAAAAAAAGCACCTAATAACATTTTATTTTGGAATGGAAGGAGAAAAAAATAATTATATAACATATATACAAGATTAAAATAAAAAGAATTTATGCGTTTGGCGACTCGATCTACTAGCTAGCTAGTATATGTATCGAATCAAATCGATCAGCTAATTGAAAAGCTAGCTAGGAGTATAAAGAGATCGATCGACTTAATTTGGTAATTTTATTTATTACTATACTAATTTTGCATGCGCGTGCCTGTCTGTATATATGTATATGTGTATGTAGCTGTGCAAGGGCATGGATTTATAGCTCAGGACGTGACAATAGAGAACAAGGCGGGTCCGACCGGTACTCCAGCCGTCGCTCTGCGCTGCGACTCCAACATGTCCCTTATTCACCGCTGCCGCATCGACGGGTACCAAGACACACTTTGGGCCCAAAACAACCTGCAGGTGTATCTGCGGTGCGACATCGCCGGCACAATTGATTTTGTGTACGGTAATGCGAAGGCCATTTTCCAGTATTGCCGCTTACTGGTGCGCAACCCGGGCAACGGCAAGCACAACGCAATCACGGCGCAGGGGCGCAACGACCCAACCAGCGAGGAGTCGGGGTTTATATTCCAAGGTTGCAACATCACCGCCATGGAAGGAGAAAGCCTCGCGGGGGTGGATACCTATCTGGGGAGGCCCTGGAAGAACCATTCCAGGGTGGTTTTCATGGGCTGTTTCATGAGCGACATCATCAACCCTGACGGCTGGGTTCACTGGAACAAGGCAACACCTGTGGAGGAGACGACCAGGACAGTGGAGTACCTGGAGTATGGCAACAAAGGCGCTGGGGCAGAGACGGCCGACCGTGTGAAGTGGAAGGGCGTCCGGGTGATCACCGAGGCGGAGGCCAACCGTTTCACCGTTGATCACTTCATCAACGGTAACCAGTGGTTGCCCAACTTGGTCAACGGCGAGCAGATCAACTACACCCACGGTCTCATCTAGTTACACTCTTACACCATCATTGCATACATATATCACATGCTGTGTACTGGAGTATTGTATATTTGTATTGTATTGTACCGTATCAACAATGTCCCTTGTGTATGTCTGTAACTATATACTCTACTGTTTGCATATGTACGTACCTTATATTGTATTTGTTAGTACGTACACCCATTGTATGTATATATAAATAAATAAAGATGCATGAGCCATGTGCTCGTGCACTTGTATTATATACTGTATAATCAATTGTCTGTTTATTAGTACTCCAGTATAAATCTTTGTATAGTTATGCATACAAAAGCACTAGCTAGTACCTATACGTATATGCGATCTGGATCAGTACGATTACAAGTATATGGCCCTTGATAATGACTAGCCGATCCTTGCTGCCTACCCTACCTCAGCGCGATCGAGTTCACACTAGTACTGTTTCCAGATTATCATTAATTTTCTAATGGTGGGGATTAGTGTGGGGGAAGGGATCGAGAAGGATACTCCTACACCATACACAGTGGTCTGCTAATTAACCTACTGACATACTAGGCAAAGACCAAACCTCCTCTGCACAAAGAGAGAATTAAGATAGTAGGGAAACTTTTTTTTTGGAGGCTGTTCGTTCTGATTCAAGCCAACAATAGCTGTTCACATCTGTTTGCTTTTTGGGGCATTTTTGTGTCCTGAATGAACATAGCGCGCTGCTTGAAGGGATTCGGACACATTTGTTCTAAAAATTGTTCATAAGCGCTCACGCGCTATTTTGCTTTTAGTCCGAATGACTTTCTCTCTATAGGATTTAAGAAAATTTAGTTGCTATGCTTGCAGTTCTCTGAATTTTTCTGGTGTTGGTTCAACACCAGGTTGAATATATCATGCCTCTGCTCAACTTCTGGTCTTTTTTCTTATGGCTACTTCTATCACCTAGCAGTTTTCTGAAATGCCCAACTACCGTTCTCGTATGACAGTGCAAATGTCATGCAAATGGAAAAAGAAAGTCGGCTCGTTGTGCCAAAATTTGTCGACATTTGGCTTTTGCATTATTTCTCTTTGCGAAAGATCGATGGTGTGCGTGCCACTGGAGTACAGATGAAGTTAGTAGAAATTGGAATGGTCATGTACTATGTGAACACGCACAAATTTTGGAATATATAGCAACTATGTGAACACGCACAAATTTTGGAATATATAGCAAATGTGCCACTGGAACAGATGAAATTGGTAGAAATTGGAATCGGTCATGTACTCGTATGAACAGGCACAAAGGGAGTATTTTTCTAAACTAGAGAGCAATTACTCCGCATGTGACCACCGGTGTTGTTGTTGGTCACATCTCTATTTAGAAGTAGTGAGCGCGTCTAATGGCAAATAAGTTTGGTTCTAGCGGTAAAATGGTCACAACTCTACTCAAACGCCTTGTCCTTGTATCAGGCTTATGGGATCAAAAGATGAATGGAGGGTCCAAACACACCTAGAGAACCTCAAAAAGAAAATCTTGAAATTAAAAACAGAGAGAGAGAGAGGGTACAAGAATGAATGGAGAGTATTCATAACAAAACTGAACCCAACACTTGTGAAGCTCTCCTGATTACTAGCCAGCGATGCATGCAGGGAAAAGAAATTTTCCTACATATATAGAGAGAAAGAGAGTATATATATCAAACGACATCATCACCATGTGCATATGTTAGTTACCCTCAATTCCCATCCTAGCAAGCATGGCCGGCTCTTCCTCTCTTGCATCGCCTCGCTCACTACAGCTACCACTCCTCCTCCTTTTCCTCCTCGTTGCCGCTGCGATAGGCAGCTACGACCCCAAGGCGTTCTGTTCCAAGACGACAGACGTAGCATCGTGCCTTAAGGTGTTCCCGACACTCCCAGACATCGTCACCAAGGCGCAGGACAACCAAGAGTTGTACAAACGGCTGGTCCGCTACTGCTCATTCAAGACCTACGAGGCCACGTCGCTCGCGGAATCCATGATTGCCACCACCACCGCCGCCAACCCCGCGAATATCGCCACCTTCTTCGAGCAGTGGAAAGGGGACGAGGCGATAACGACAAAAACACCTCCAGGCAAGTGCCTCTTGAGCTGCAACAAGACCATCGGCGAAGTTAACGCCATCCTAACCTGCGGACACACCTACATGGAAGACAGGCCCCCCATCATCCACCAGAACCTCACCGTCTTGTTCCATGGCGGCCACCCGCCGTCACTCTGCAAGAGTGGATGCCTTGACGGCTCGTCGTCAGAGGGTGAGGTCCTCCTCGCCACCAAGTTCAACTATATATGGAGCTTGTTGGATCTCATGGAAGCTGTCCTACCGGAATATCTTTCTGAGACTGGGACTGCGACGACGACGGTACCATCTCCCGACGTCGCTGCGGCGGCGGCCCCGGCCCCATGAGCAACTACATATGCATGCAGTCCCTTCGATTCGATCGACCACACCACAACAGTGCAGTGCATACACGCATATACTTACTATGTATCTAAGAAATAATTAAGATTTCACAGAGAGCATTTAAGAATCAAGTTTCACTAATTGTTGCAGTATATAGTAGCCCATTTAATTTCATCCATCAGTTAGAGTCTCACCATGTTACGGTCCGTTTTGTGCCTTTTATTCGCTCCAAAATATAGTGTTCTAATTCTTACCGTGGAATTGGATGTTCACCCCTCAAGTGCATACACGTACTTGCTTCCCTATCACTCAAATAGTTACAAAATGTTCTGAAAAATAATTACAGCATTTATACAGCAAGCATCTATCATAACCAAACTTATGTTTAATTTTTTTTTGGCATGTAAAGATTGAATTTAGTTTTTAGGCATAATTGTATTCTTGCCTTTAATTACTTGCTGCAATTGTGATTTTGCCTTTGCTTTTTACGGTTTGTGGTTTTGCCCTCACTTGCTGCAATTGTGATATACCAAGATATCTAAAAGAACAATATCTATCTGGCAACCAAACAACTACAAATATTGTTCCTCAGTCTTTAGTTTAGGCAAGGCAAAAAGTTCACTTTTATGGAAATTAATATTGAGGATAGGTAGTTGTTCTAAAACATATAGAAAATATTTTCAGCTTGCTCTAAATTATGATCCATATAAAAATCAGTGTGTCATCCGCATACTGCACCTGTTTTATATAATCGTTAAGATGAGGTCCTACTCCTGATTTATATAATCGTTATGGGCTCGGAAATCGGAATAGGTGAATTAAAGGAAAATTGATTTAGAAAATAGAAAAAAAATGGTTCTACCACCTAAATAAATCACATGCCTCCGACCACCTGTTCTCAAAATCATTATGTACCCCAAACGTAATGAGAGGAAGAGCAACATGTGGCCCACAACGGTAATGGTCTAACTTCTATGGTCAGCGGGCATGGAGCTGAGTTGGTGGTGCTAGTGCACTGCGTGGTGGGGTGCATATAGCAAGATGGCAAGGTGCATGCAGGTCGGGCCAGTATGGCTAGATGGGCAGGGTTAGTGAGGAGGGGCTTACGTCTCGGTAGCACATGTGCCACAGTTCGTGGGAGATGACGACATATATGGGCCACTATTGTACGATCGAAAAAAGACCAAACAAACCAACCAGAGGGAACAAAACCAAACAAACCAACCAGAGGGGGTGAATGGTAGGGAAAACAAAAAACCCAAAAACTTTTAGTGGAAATAAAAGTTACCTTCAAATTGATGGAGTTCTCGACATAGCCGATCTGACCGTTAGATTAATTCCGGTCTGACCGTCTCCACATCGCTGGTCTGACCGCCCCCTCATCGCCAAGTTGGACCGCCATCTGGGTTAGACCGCCGACTTGCCTCCCATTTAACCGTCGGATCCAGAAAAACATGTATCAACAAAACTCTTGAAAGTAGATCAACTTCATTGCATCAATGTGTTTCAAAAGTGCATCTAAAGCACTCATCTCTCAACTCATGAACTAGGATTAAAACCTCAAAGTAAACCCTAACTTTTCTCTCCCAAAAAGTCAATATCTTCTAGTCTCAACCCCTCATCTATTTATACCACAAAGCCCGCCCACTCAAAGTAGGTGTAGAGCTCATATTTCCAATAGAACTCCATCCCTCAATTTCCATACGTTTTACAAGGGTTAATTCAATCCATGCCATTTCAAATAAATGTCATTACAATTCGTCTATTCGTAACCGTGCCACTAAAATTTTACAAAATTAGAACCATGCCACTAACGTCACATTTCCCATCCATCTCCTCATCTGCACATGGGACCCACATGTCAGTTTCATCTTCCTTCATCCTTCTATCTTTTTCCTTCCCATCTCTCTACACCTTGTTTCAAATGAGGCAACCAGCAGGGAGGGTGCGTTTCTATGTCACCGTCAGCAGCGTGACCATCTCCGGCATTTGCGGCTCCTAAAATTTCAGAACTCGGTTTCTTTTTCCTTCTCTATTTGCACCTGTTTTTTTTTTCACTCTATTTGCAGGCAGCAAGCAGCTGGCGAGCTCGGCAACCTTTGCTCGTCCCTGCGATTAGCGCCAGCACCACGCGAGGCGGCCTGCGGCAGTGCGGCCAGGATAGGGTCACTGATCATGAGCAGACAAGCAACGACGAGCCGACGAGGATCCATGATAATGGCGGCGTCATACATGGGATGACTCTCTGCGTCGGGCGTCCGATCGACCGATTTACGCGAAAAACTACTTTAAACTTATTTTCTTCACAAGTTTGAAATTTAAAAAAAAAAGAAGACAGTGGAGTACCTGGAGTACGGCAACTGGGGCGCTGGGGCAGAGACGGCCGACCGTGTGAAGTGGAAGGGCGTCCGGGTGATCACCGCGGCGGAGGCCAACCGTTTCACCGTTGATCACTTCATCAACGGTAACCAGTGGGTGCCCAACTTGGTCAACGGCGAGCAGATCAACTACACCCACGGTCTCATCTAGTTACACTCTTACACCATCATTGCATGCATATATCACATGCTGTGTACTGGAGTATTGTATTGTACTGTATCAATGTCCCTTGTACTGTATGTGTGTAACTATATCCTCTACTATTTGCATACGTACCGTACGTACTCGTGCCTTATATTGTATTTGCTGGTACGTACATCCATGGTATGTATATATAAATAAATAAAGATGCATGAGCCATGTGCTCGTGCACTTGTATTATATACTGTATAATCAATTGTCTGTTTATTAGTACTCCAGTATAAATCTTTGTATAGTTATGCATACAAAAGCACTAGCTAGTACCTATACGTATATGCGATCTGGATCAGTACGATTACAAGTATATGGCCCTTGATAATGACTAGCCGATCCTTGCTGCCTACCCTACCTCACTACACTGGCCAAGGTCACCTGTGACGGGCCCAAACCCTCATCTTTGACGGCTTCGCGCATGGTCAGTGATCAGTGGTCACTGGTGAGTCCAGTCACCTTTGACGGGTGGCCGGCCGTCACAGGTGACACCCACCTCTGACGGGCAAGTTACTAGAAGTCCGTCAGAGGTGTTGGTCTCCGCTAGCCTTGAGCGAGTTAGGACCCGTCACAGGTGACTCTTCTCTGACGGCCCTTTAAATAAAGGCCGTCAGAGGTTGAGGTCTCCGTAGTTAGAAGCTGTCACAGGTGATCTACCTGTGACGGCTCCAAAAGTAAAGGCCCGTCACAGGTAGGTCACCTCTGACGGGCCTTTATTTGCTAGTCCGTCACAGGTTATGTTACCTTTGACGGATTTTTGTTCCGACCCGTCACTGATGAGTTAATTCCAGAAAAAAAATAAATGCTAAATATTGGCTAGCCTCAGGATTTGCTAGCCATGCCCTCTGAAAAATAGAAACATCACAGATATATTCCAGTCACAGATCCATCACAGATACATCACCCCCCCAATATAACATCACAGATCCCCAACAACACATATATGCAGTTCAAATGCCACAATTTTGCACAGCAAATTCACACCCCTTGAAAGCCACAATTTCGGTCGTTGCTCATAGAACCGCATATATACTTACCAAATGGATTAAAGCCATAATGTCATCGACCTGCACAACCTGTCAATAAGGAAAAAAAAAGGAGAAAACAGATGAATAGTACAACATAAATCGTAGTTGATCAAATGTGATGACAATTTAGTAAAGTACCATAAATATTGCACATATGAAAAACATAATTTTTTACATCGCCAGAAATTATAAAAACATCTTTTTTACATCACAATAAATTATCTAGCCAAGTTCATGAGTCTATTTGGCATGAAAACGTCCTTTCTTGTTCATTATTTCTGCAAGAATAAAGGCGCACAATTCGCCTCTGATAGCGGGGGGGTTGATGGGTGAGATCTTCAAGCCAGCTCTACCTTTCTGTTTAATAAATAAGAGGTTAATTAGCACGTTTTGAATAGCAATGTAGATATTGAAATGAGCTTATTCGCCATTAGCAACAACCTCAGGGTCGAAATCTTTCACCTCTCTTACAAGTGTTGACATGTTGTGGCACACGTGGAAACCACATTGGTCTCCGATCTGTTGTGCGCATGCAAACTTGGTGTCATGATAAAGTTCATTCTTGCCCTCCTTGTGCCTACCACCCTTTTCCACATATGGGCCCCAAGCCATATTTAAGGCCTTGGTGATTTCACTGAAATCATAATCTTTGGACTTATTGGAGTTAAGGTAGGTAACCCTACTCCACTTAGGTACGATGACTAGGAGAATCCAATGTCGCCTGCGCAGTGGTTATGTAGCGTTAGTACTAAGAACCTTAACTTCAAAAACAATATACACGAAGGGTATTGTCCTCTTACTCTTGGTTGTGTGCGCACATGATGTACTCCTTGTCTTGATGGGCCCATAAACACCGGTTGACATAGTCAACCACCTCAGTGAAGCTCTGTCGTAAATTAACCTCATTCACCATGGATGGATCAAGGAACCCAACCTGATTACCATGGCGACGACTCTCGATCCAACACAACCTTAAAATATGTACGTATTAGAACTAATTTAATTAGGAGATATAGTCCAGTCATATCACAAGTATAGAAGGTATGCACTTACAAGGAGTAGCATTTTAGAAGACCAGTGTCCAACTTCCGGATCCTGAAAAGGTCGAAGAGGGCATCAAAGCCTAGAGTTATATATGCAGGCGACGATAGGAACGGCTGGTGGTCGTGATGTCCAACTATGGATGACTCCCTCATTTTCCGCTTGGCATTGCTTAGCTCCATGTATTGCTTATGTAGCTCTCGGCAAGCAATACCCATCACAGCTAACACATTGTCCTCCACCAATGGCATGCCTAGCTCAAATTGGGCTGGCGCCCTCACGACCTTCCCCGATTTGCTCACCGGCATCGACGTCGCAGCCTTGCCCCTTTTTGGCTCCGGCGCCAACTCCCCGACCTTCCCCTTGCCGCGTTCACGCTTCTGGCCCTTGACAAGTGGTGGGGAGCTATCGGCCTTTCTTGTGGTCTTTATTGGAGCCAAGCTTTGAGCTATATCTGCCAAGTCCATATCAGCTCCACCGGGAGAATGAGGTACTGACAATGCCGGTCCACGGGGAGCCTCAAATGATAGCTTAGACTTGGGAGGTGTAAGCTCCGTCGGTCGACTTGGACGAGGAGTCATCTTCACAACTATGTCTTCTTTGGGCCATTGTATGAACGTCTTGCGCGCATCGCCCAAAGTCATGATTTCATCATTTGGGGGCACGGGCAGCGGATAGCCGGACCAGGTGTCCTTTACTGTATCGATGGACACCTTGGCATACCCAGCTAGCAGGTCTGCGCCGTGGACCTTGTCTGTAACAGAGGGCTTGAAAGCCATGCCCTCAGCGACTTCAGGAGCGAAAGTTGGGTGGACTCTCGCTAGTAGGACACATTGTGCTGCGCCCTGCATAAGGTGAAAGTTTGAATTTAATATTGGAATGTGTACATGTCTTTTATTACATATGGATCGGATAACAACAATTACCTCGATGTGGTCCACTGCAGCTAGTGGTGCGATAGGGAGACCAGGGGCCGGCACCTCTGTGGATGCACAACTACTCCTATGCTGTGACGGACTCGCGTCGTGTTGTACACGAGGAGTTGGTTGCACAGCAGGTGTTGTGACTCGGGGTATATTCATGTCGGCGAGGACCTTGTTAACCCTTTCTTCCACCCTTGCATCCATGCTAGCTTCTAGTTCTTGAATGACCTCAACCTTAAGTTCGGCCTTCAAACGAGCGTCCCTCTCTTCCTTGGAGACTTTCCGTTTCCTGTATTGGGATCTGTACTGAGGGAGTCCATGCTTCCAGGGCACATCGCTACCAATTCCCCGAGTTCGGCCAGGATGTTCTTTGGTTCCGAGCGCCTTTGTGAGGATGTCATCTTCGCGCCTCTTCGGCGCGGACTCAACCTCGCTTTGTGAAGCTTGTTCAGCAACCAAGCCCAACTAGAAAAGAAGATAGTCGTTTATACGAACTTGTACTTTATACGAACGGAAATTAGTTAGGTTAAGTAGTGAACTCACCAGTTCCTGATAGACGACGGCATCACTTTTGTTCTCAAATGTGACAGAGCCGTCCGGGTTGACCTTACCCCTTGCCCGCGCCCAGTTGCGAGCTCTTTGTTCAGGGATGTCTGAAAACGGGGCAGGGACATTCGCTGCTGCAGCGGCTGCATCTTCTTGGGCCCATATTGCCTCCTTGCCGATGTACCCTGCGGTGCCCAGCCGATGCGGGTGCTCATTCCGCTGTTGCAGTACGCGATGTGCCTCGCTTGATTCCCTAAACTGTTGGGTGGTCTTGAGAGAGCAGAATTCCTCCCACACCGCTTCGGTTATTTGAGGGTATTCATCGAACGGCGTATGATTGCCGGGCGGGTTGACAAACTCGGTGAAGAGCTTCGACTTCCAATTCTTCCAAGCTTTGCCCATCTTTTGGAATGCCTTCCGCTTGAGCCTATCCTTTGCTTCGGCTGGAAATGTGAACCATTTCTCCATTGCCGTCCAAGCTCGCTCTTTCTCGGCTTCTGTGACCTTCCCGATATCTTTATGGAGGATCCCGAAGTTCTCACGTGCCGCTATCCCGCAGCAGTTAGACCATCTTCCAATGACAGTCCTGGGCGCCGTGGGCCTACCACTAGCGTCAACCTCTCTTATAACTTGCACTGTGGTCGGCCATATATTATGTGACCGCGGATTTCTACTAGACCTACTTGCACTTGTCCCGCCCGACATCGACGTATGTTGTTCATGCGGCAATTCTGCAGCACAAACAGAAGGCAATATTTGCTAAGGGGTGCTAGCTAAAATTTATGTGGTCATGTGGTGAAAATTTATCCTATAAATTACCATGAATTTCGTGTTGTTGGACCGCCGTTGTCGCGGGATGACCTTCTGCAACTGCCTCTGTGGCTGGGTTTGCTTCTTCCTGGACCCTCGCAGGTGTTGGGGAGGGTGGGTTTGCGCCGGGCGTTGACATGGTTTAACTTTCGCGAAAAAGATTATAAATTTCCTACCATTAGACTAAATAGCATTAGATCCAATGTAATACGGGGTATACTATGAAAGATATGGCCTCAGTTTTGCTGAGAAATATGCATCAATTACAATCATTTGCATGAAGGGATAAAAAGAGGAAATCAGCTACTAGGAGAAAAAAGCAACCCAAAGAAAATAGAACAAGTGTAGGTAATCTGTTCTTATCCATAAAGAAAAGAGCAAGTGCAGGAAATTAGAGCAGTAGCAACAGCATGGCCATATAATAGCAGCAATAAGAGCAGTAGCAGGGCCATATAACATCAGTACGGGTATATATGCCACAGGGGCAGCAACAGCAGGGGGAGATTCACATAAACAGCAACAGCAGGGTGGAAATTCACATAAACAGCAACAGCAGAGGGAAATTCACATAGACAGCAAGGATATATAAATCAACAAGTGTAGATAATCTGTTCTTATCCATAAAGAAAATAACAGGTATAGATAGAATGTTATTAAGCAATTCATCCTTGGCCATTTAACAAGAAGTACAGGGGCAACAACAGCAGTGGTATATAAATCATGCATATATTATTGTAGATAAAAAAATGAACAAGTGCAGAAAATATGTTCTTATGCATAAAAAAAGAGCAAGTGCACAAAATCTGTTCTTATTGAGCAATTCATCACTGGCCATTTAATAAGGAACACATTGGGCAGCAGCAGCAAGGGTATATAAATCATCAAAGAATGACAGAAAACAAAATGACAGGCAACCATAGGCAGCAGCATGGGCAAACATAGACAGCAAGGCATCAAAAAAAATTATATAAATCATGTATATAAAAAGCAATTCATGCAATTCACCTATTCATAGACAGCAAGGGTATATAAATCATGTATATAAACAACAATTCATGCAATTCACCTATTCATAGACAACAAGGGTATATAAATCAACAAGTGTAGGTAATCTGTGGCCAATCTATCAACAAGGGTATATAAATTTCAAACCCTAAACCTAATAAAGTTCCTTCATTATCAAAGAATGACAGAAAACAAAATGCATGGAGAATTTTGGTGTCTAGGTCGGTTCCGTCCATGGACTACACTGACCAATCCACCAAAATTCCCCATGCATTTTGTATTCTGTGATGGTTTGATAACCTCGGATTCCCCAAAGTTCATCATTCGTTCATCCATTCCATTGCATCATTCATTCATGCATTAACTGCACCATTCCATTCATCGGCATCAGAGAGAGAGGGGTACTTGGAGAGGAGACGACGAGCAGAGGAGGCGGCGCACGGTGACGACGAGTCCCGGCCGGCGCACGGCGCACGGCTTCTCGGCACGGCGGCGCGGCGGCGGCTTCTTGGCACGACGGCGCTGAGGAGGAGAAGAGGGGGTTAATCGGCGACCAATAGTAAACGAGGGGAGGCGGGGGCCGTGGGCTCACCGTGGAGGTCCCGGTGGCGGCGATGACGGTCCTGGCGTGGCGACTAAGAGGAGGTCCCGGCGGCGGTCGAGAGAGTGAGTGAGGCGGCAGCAGTGCAGAGGGCGGTGTAGAGGGTGGAGAGGGCGGCGGAGATGGCGGCGGAGAGGTCGAGGCGGCGGTGGAGAGGAGGGCGGCGGAGAGGTCGAGGCGACGGTGGAGATGGCGGTGGAGATGGACTGCGGCGGTGGTGGTGCAGGCCGGCGTCGGGAAGGTCGACGGAGAGGGTGAGCGGCAGAGAGGTCGGCGGATTTGGCGGCGGCGAGGGCGGCGGTGGAGAGGTCGAGGCGGCGGTGGAGAGGAGGGCGTAGAGGGTAGCGGAGAGGTCGATAGGGGCGAGGCGGCGGTCGAGAGATGAGAGTGGAGTGAGAGTGGGTGCCGGATCTGGATCGATGTCCAACCCTAGGTCAAGCCTAGTCAAACTCACCTGTGACGGGCGCCAACTATGTGGCCGTCACAGGTGGCCTCACCTGTGACGGGCGCCAACCGTGAGGTCACCTGTGACGGCCCTACAGATAGAGCCCGTCACAGGTGAGTTTGCCTAGAGCAATTTTATTTCACTTTCGTTCGCAAGTGCCGGATCGGAGCTTGACTTTTGGGTTGGGAACATGTAGTACTGTAGACCACTGTAGCAGTGTCAGGGCGTCAGAGACACTGGAAAATATTGAAAGCGGCAGCCTGGACGCCGTCTATGGCCGACACTTTCCGTCGCCGTGCCGTGCGATGCCGGGCAGGGGCTGGCAGTGGAGGTACTGTAGCATGCGAATTAATGGGTGTTTGCTACGCGGGTGAAAGAGATATTTGCTACGCGGCACCAATTGTGAAAGAAATATTTGATATGCACACACATGTGATTTCTTTAATAATAATTTTCATAATATGTGAAGATTCGGACATAAATAAATGGTAAACCATACAATCCTGAAAATTGAAGTACTGAACATACGACAAGCATTATGGATAACATCACCTACCTAATGGTAGTTATTGTACGCATCATCAGCAATACAGTCACGCAACATGCACATAGCGGCCTCGCTATTTGTTGCGTAATACATATGGTCGAATGAATCGTTCAGCAGCGGCACTGGATTGCCGTTGTAGAGAGCATTAGTGAACCGATAGGTCGGATCTTTACTATCCAACCTAAAGTTGTGTAGAGCGAAAGCTGCATGAATGATGCGTGCAGGGATGTCCTCATCTCGGTAATAAGGGATTTCTTTCAATATTTTCCACATCTTTTTTGCGATGCCAAATTGTCTTTCCACGATCCCTCGCAACGTGGAGTGTCGATGGTTGAAAGTCTCTTCCCGTCCTACGGGTGGCGGGGCTCCCTCGACCGCAAGTTGATCCCTGTGGTACCGTACATGTGGGTACGGTGCAAGGAAGCCCATCCTGGTAGGAAATCCGGAGTCGACAAGTAGGTACCTGCCTGGTTAACGGCGCATAATTAAATATTAGTGCACATGTATAGAATTAAATAAAATCAAGACATTTGGCAATAAAAAAAGTGTATTGACCGATACAACTCACCTAACGGTACCCGTGGGAAATCGTAGGGGTAAGCCTGCACTGCCTCATTGAGAATCCTTTGGTCGTGAACTGATCCAGGCCAGCCAGCATCACAGAAAATAATTCTCCCATCATGATCACATATTACTAGAACATTTCTGGTTGTTATGTGGTGACGGTTCCTGTGTTGCATAGCGCTAGCTGCATTAGGCAGAACTGGAATATGTGTGCCATCGACAGCTCCCACTGATTGGTAGAAAGGCTTGAAAGGATTCTCTTGCAGAATCTGAGGGTTGTAATCTAAGAAGTTGGGATCAACCGGTTTCAATATTTTCCCAGCGAGATCATTCATAGCCTGCAAAACATGGTGGAAGTGAACCGACACTGTCGAGTTGGAGCGGACCCACCGATTGTTCGCGTCTCTGATTGGACGATTTCCACCCATCGTGTACAAGAAAATACCAAGCTTTTCCATGGAACAGACCCCTGCTGTTCCTACAAGACCAAAAGAAGTGACCAATAGATCATGCAAATTGTGTATCTCCTCTGCAGTAAGCCTGAACATTGCCCTGCATTGGCTTCGATTTGCCATCGTGTCCATCATCCAACTGATACCGGTTTGCACCGGTATTCTCCTTGGTGCCCTCTCATTGAAATCAAGGGTAGCAGCCATGTACTCAATGATGGCATCTTCTTCTTCGCTGCTTGTGTGACCGCCTCCATTCCAACTCGATCCACCCGCGCCGTAACTCATCGCCGATTTCCTTTAACATATGAGAACCGAAGAATATGCAATGTTTGTCATAATCAAAAGGATAGAAATTAATAATGGCAGTGATCTATGCAATCGAAGAATTATTTGGATATAAAAGCAATGCAATGGAATACGTAGTTGCTCGAATTGGATATAAAGCCGCAAATGTTTACGGACTCACAGAATGTAAAAATTGTTAGCACACTGAGTTCTAAACATAAATAATGGTTTATTTGAAAAACATCGCCCATCACAACTCAAAGTAAAGTACAGTGCACAAACTACCAGGTGCCACCAGATGACTGTCCAGTACCACCAGTGCGTATAAATTCCAAGCGCCTAGCGGCGTCCTTGATTCGAACAAAGCATTTGCAGGTGAATGGGTCACGGAATAGCGCACAAGCAGCATACCACACACTTCCTCCAATTTCATGGCCATCATTTTCCACCAACTCCATGCACGCATCAAGGCCCATAGACTTCTCTGCTTCCATCTGAGCAACACGACTCTGGTAGCTCTGCTCTCGGATGTCCGCAATCCTCTCCAAAGCCAGTCCAGCGGAGTCGCTTCGTGACTTCTTGGAAGAACTCCCTGAGGCAGTAGTGTTTGCTGCTGGCCTCTTTCCCTTGCCCCGGTCTGCTGCCGTTGGGGGTGGAGTTGGAGGTGGTGGTCTATAAGCAGCAGCGAGCTGCGCCATGTCGATGGTCTGCCACTGAACTGCTCCTTGCGGTGCCTGTGGGGCTGCCCCTGCGACGGCGGAGTGGTTTCCGACAACTGTGTGCCCACTGAATACCGCGTGGTGAAGGTCAATGTGCTTCAGAGGATCATTCCTGAAGCTTAAGACACCTTTATTTTGCTGCAACATAAGTAGACAGTAAAAATAAGTTAGTACAAGGCAAGTGCATTAGGCTTGTGCAAACATTGAACATAATGAATATGTGCAGTCCAATGTGCATTACTACTAAAATGCTGGCAGTAAATGTGCACATTGGTACCAAGTTATCAAATATAATCAGGAGTACATGTTACAATGGGCCACACATCTGACAGAATGAAAGAAAGATAGTTTGAACATTGTAAACATAAGATAAACTGCATATATTATATTCTTTGTAGATGAGCACATTTTTGTTCATTCTCTCTATATACATCACAAAGAAGGTGTGTACAGCTAGTTGAATATGTATTAACATGTTCCTAAATGACTTGTACAAGATCTTTCCTAATTTACTGATACACTACATATACACTACATATAGATCTTTCCTAAACATCATTTTGTTAACTTAAATACAAGGGAATGGCACACATTACTAAAAACGACATGACAGTAACAACTATGAAACATATGTGATCACAATCCTTCCATTTTACTGCAGCTAGTCATTTGTTGGCACACACAATTTGAACAAAAAAATTATTACACCTCACAAAACTGTATTCATAATTGCATGCATGTACTAAATTTCAGATAATACCAATTGTAGGCAAAATTGTTGGTTCAAAATATTTATGGTCAAGTGTACGTACCGCATTCTTGCTTTCCCACCACTCATCATCGGCAACAATGGCTGATGTATGGGGATCACGACCCAGCCCGCTTGCATGCGATTCTAGCCACACCCACCTGTTGTACCGCTTCTTACACTGCCCCCAAATGTACTCCAATTGAGCCTTGTTCACCTTCTTCTTGCACTTGGTGTACATCTTGTGTATTAGGTTCTGCCATGCCTGCGGCTTGGGGGAGTTGGAGGTGATGGTGAACGCTGCCATCTCCTCCAAGCAGCTCTCAAGAAACACACGAACCTCCATATCGGTCCACCGGCTACGGCCATCGCCCATCTACTCCGTGCAAGTCAAATAAAATTGAATCGGAAATGAACAAATTAATACAAACCAATACCTTACATGACTCTTCCTCGCGGACGACGTCCCAATCAATCGAACGGCCGACGGTGGCAGGGCTCACTCTTCGAACAAAGTCGATGACGGCTCTAGGAGACTTGGCGCAAACTTTGCAGAGGGCATGCGCGATATGAAGCACGTCGTCGGGAGCAGCCTTGGCGCTGCCAGCGTCGGAGGTGACAGAGTCGGAGGAGTCCTCGCCGGACTCCAGATCGGCGCCGCGGACAGAGATCTCCCCTGTTTGAGGGGATTGAACAATCGTCCCCTCCTCTTGGATCGACAATAGATCCCGCTCTCGCTTCCGCTTCTTCGCTGTCGTCTCCATCGGACCACGCACACGCTCGGCCTGAAATAGAGACTCCTCAACTCCGCCAGCTTGGATGCCTTGATGAGACTCTTCAGGCCAGCACTGTCTGACCCGAGAGGCAGAGAGGACGAGCACACAGGCAGCCAGACTGCTTGCTGCTTCACAGCGAGCACGCCGGCCAGCTTTTACTCCCCTCGAGGACGACGCAGACAGCTCTTCCACTTCCCCCCGATTTTGAGCACCTTGAACCGACCGCTGCCGCAAGACGACGCGCGGACGAGAATCGATTGGGGGGGGGGCACGGGCCTGCAAGCCACAGTCGAAAGGGGAGGACGGGAGCCTGCAGCGGAGGGGAAGAAAGAGGGATTCTCCGCCAGGCCTGCGTCGCATCGACGACCGCGGAAGCAACAGCGAGAGGAGGAAGAAAGAGGGATCGAGAGCATTGGATGCCCTGACTCTGACGGAAAAGCCGAGGCGCAACGGCAACTTCTCACATCCGTTAACGCCGTTAACGTCGCCTCACAAGCCGTCCTTCTGGTACTGTGTGCGGGACCACGCTTCCAGTGCACGGAACATGAACCGGATCAGGACTCGCACAACGGAACATGAACCTGTGACGGGCGCCAACTATGTAGCCGTCACAGGTGCCCTCACCTGTGACGGGCGCCAACCGTGGAGCCGTCACAGGTAATACCACCTGTGACGGGCCCAACACTCTGGGCCGTCACAGGTGAGGTCACCTGTGACGGCCCTACAGATAGAGCCCGTCACAGGTGAGTTTGCCTAGAGCAATTTTATTTCACTTAGTTCTTTTATTTTCCTTAACATATTTTCACATACACTACATATTTTTTTATACTTAATTATTTTATTTCACTAACAGTTGTAATTGCACTTCATTACTATACTACTTTAATTATTTTAGTTCCAATGCTTATACTTGCTTAATTATTTTAATTCACTTCTAGTGGGTGCTTTACTTAATTATTTTATTTGACTATTTCATTGCGAACATATTAGAGTCATACAGATAACAGACATGTAGACATAAACTACGTACATAAATTACAAAAATAATCCTTCCTCATGGTCGACACGTGCATATTGAACTTCATCTTCTTCTTCCTCCTCTTCTAGAGGTATTTCTTGACCTATGCCGTGGACGTGCTGGTTGTAATCATCCTCGTCTGCAATGTTGTCCAATCCAACAATTCTCCTTTTCCCTTCACGAACAACATGTAGTTTCTTGTTACACGGGTCAACTATGTAGAACACTTGAACAACTTGTTTGGCGAGAACGAACGGTTCATCCTTGTACGCGTTGTTAGCCAAGTTGACAGTGGTGAAACCTTCATTGTCAACTTTTACATTGCGAAGATCGACCCATCGACAACGAAACAACGGGATTTTGAACTTCAAGTAATCTAGCTCCAATATTTGCTCAACTTTACCATAGTATTGATCACGACGACCACCGTCACTAGTAGCCTCGATGCGTAACCCACTGTTCTGCACTGTGCATTTGCTGTCTTGCTTTACCGTGTGAAAGGTGTATCCATTTATGTCATATCCTTGCCAGGTGGTGGCACTCCATTCAGGACCCTGTGACAAGCACTGAAGTGTTTCACTAGACAAGTTCTGCAACCTGGCAATTCGGTTCTTCAGCCACTCGTTGAAAGAAGACATGTGCTTATTCCTGACCCAACTCTCTGATCGGCCTGGGTTCTCATGTCGGATAACTGCAAGGTGTTCGTCAACGTACGGCACCACCTCAGTCATATGCTGTAGTACCGTGAAATGAGCTTTATCGTACACCTTCCGATCCAACCTAATAGTCTTTCTTCCTACAGTACCAACACCGTCAAGCCTCCCTTCGTGATGAGATCGTGGTAATCCAATTGAAGATGTTTCTGACATGTAGTCCACACAAAATTCGATGGCCTCTTCGGTGGTGTAACTCTCGATGATACTCCCCTCAGGGTGTGAACGGTTCCGTACATAACCCTTAAGGATCCCCAGGTACCTTTCGCAAGGATACATCTGCGTCATGAATGCTGGACCACAGCACTTTGTTTGCCTCACAAGGTGCACCGGAAGATGTTCCATTATGTCAAAGAAAGTTGGAGGAAAGTACATCTCAAGATGACATAGGGTTCTCACAAGTTCTGCCTGTAGTTCATCTAGTCCCTCGGGGTCAATGATCTTCTGGCCGATTGCATGGAAGAAAGAACACAACCGCTGGATCGTGTGTCGCACCTTAGGAGGCAAAATATTCCTTATTGCAACGGGCAACAGCTCTGTGATAAGAACGTGGCAATCATGCGACTTCATTCCAACCAACTTAAGATCTTGCAGTGAAACAAGCCTACTGATTCTTGATGAGTAACCAGATGGAACCTTTATACCACTCAAACATGTTAGCAAATCAATCTTCTCTTCTTTCGAGAGAGTGTAGCAGGCTGGAGGAAGGTAAACCCTGCCGGATTCCGTGGTTATGGGATGTAGCTCCGACCGAACACCCATATCTTCCAGATCTCGTCGGGCGTTGAGACCATCCTTTGTAGTACCTGGGTTAAGCAGTAATCCCATTAAACTCTCGCATACATTCTTCTCGACATGCATCAAATCTATGCAGTGGCGAACTTCAAGATCCTTCCAGTATGGTAGTCTCCAAAATATTGACTTCTTTTTCCACATGCTCCTCTCTTTTGTCTTTTGTTTTTCCACATGCTCCTCTGTTTTTTCCTTCGATGTGCTCTTCTCTTTTCGCTTTCCAACTTTCCTCTTTTTTCCAAACTCGTTGGTTATTCCCATCACTAAGTTGTGCACCTCTGTCCCTGTTAGCTCTGTCGGGGGTCCGGCTGTATCTCTGTGTCCATTGAAATTCTTTCTCATATTCCTATACGGGTGATACCTTGGGAGAAATCTCCTGTGACCCATGTAGACCGTCTTGTGTGAATGCTTCAACCATTTGCTTCTTGTTTCCTCCATACACTCCGAACACGCCCATTTCCCTTTCACAGTTTGGCCAGAAAGGTTGCCAAGGGCCGGATAATCGTTGATGGTACAAAACAGCATCGCATGGAGGTTGAAATACTCTTGTGCATATGCGTCCCATGTTCGTGTGCCCTCATTCCATAGCCTTTCGAAGTCATCGATTATCGGTTCAAGGAACACATCGATATCGTTGCCAGGTTGTCTCGGTCCTTGAATGAGCATGGCAAGCATAATGTACTTTCTTTTGAAACACAACCAGGGAGGAAGGTTATAGTTAACAAGCAGAACTGGCCATGTACTGTGACGACTGCTCAAATCACCAAAAGGATTAATGCCGTCCGTACACATTGCGAAACGCATGTTTCTTGGGTCATTTGAGAATTCCTGGTAAATCCTATCGATTGTCCTCCACTGTACTGAATCTGCTGGGTGCCTCAGCATAGTATCGACTTTCCGTTCTTCGGCATGCCAGCGCACAAGCTTAGCTTGTTCCTTGTTCGCAAACATTCTCTTCATGCGCTCCGCAATTGGGAGATACCACACCACCTTTGCTGGGCCTCCCCTCTTTGACTTACTTCCTTCACCTTCACTCTTTGCTCGTTTGTATCTTGATGCCCCACAGATAGGGCAGACATCCAAGTCAGCGTATTCCTTGTAATACAAAATGCAGTCGTTCGGACATGCATGAATTCTTCTGACCTCCAGGCCCAACGGACATAATACTTGCTTCGCTTCATATGTCGTCTGAGGTAAATTGTTCCCCTCTGGCAACAGATCCTTTAACAGCTCAAGGAGTTCTGTAAAACTCTTGTCCGACCAGCCATTACTAGCCTTAAGCTTCATGAGTTCCAACACGCATGACAACTTGCTGTGCTTCGACTTGCATCCATCATACAACGGCATCTGGCAATCTTCCACCAACTTACTAAACTTCTCATAATCTCTGTCGTTGTCCTCTGCGTCTTCAATGTCATGCAACATTGTAGATAGACATTGAGTGTCTAAATCTATGGTCTCTCCACCTAAAGGAGAAGGTACGAACATGCCTTCTCGAGCTGCGGCGGTGTTCTCTACATCCTGATCCAACACTTCTTCAGCTGCGACATCAGGCGCCTCTTGCTCTCCATGCTTGGTCCAGCAGGTATATTTCTTCATGAATCCATTCATTATCAAATGAGCATGCACTTCATCCTTGTCTTCGATCATCTGTTCATTCTTACAGTCCCTACATGGGCACAACATGTGCATGCTCATCCTACTTTTTCTGTCATTATCCGCAAATGTGACAAATTCAGTGACCCCCTCTCTATACTCGGTAGACGAACGATGCGCATAGTACATCCATCTACGATCCATCTGAAATCAACAACATACGAAGAAAAATAAATGATGATCGATATGTTGAGAATGAATGGAGAATAATGTGTTTTTTACCTTGAATTTTAGCAAAAAAATCGCCCCCCTTGCCCTCCCAACCGATGTGTGAGCAGTACAATGGTCGGGATGGAAAGCAGTTGGCAGTTTGGGGGTATTTATAGAGCCAACACACCTCAAACGGGTTAGATAAAAAAAGCCCGTCAAAGGTATTGCTCATACCTTTGACGGGCTTGTATTCAACGGCCCGTCACTGGTATCATCTCACCTGTGACGGGCCAGAAATTAAAGCCGTCACAGGTGGCGGCCCATCACCTCTGACGGCTTCTAATGTATTGGCCCGTCACAGGTGAGGGGATACCAGTGACGGGTTGGATTAAAAACTCGTCACTGGTATACCTCTGACGGGTTTTCCTTTCGGCCCGTCACAGGTGAGGGGATACTTGTGACGGGCCGCGGCCAGATGCCTCACCGGTGACTGCATCCCGTATAACCCGTCAAAGGTAATGGTCACTACTGACCAATTCGTTTGCCCGTCACAGGTATCCCGTCAGAGGTGTGAGGATCTGGCGTAGTGCCTCAGCGCGATCGAGTTCACACTAGTACTGTTTCCAGATTATCATTAATTTTCTAATGGTGGGGATTAGTGTGGGGGAAGGGATCGAGAAGGATACTCCTACACCATACACAGTGGTCTGCTAATTAACCTACTGACATACTAGGCAAAGACCAAACCTCCTCTGCACAAAGAGAGAATTAAGATAGTAGGGAAACTTTTTTTTTGGAGGCTGTTCGTTCTGATTCAAGCCAACAATAGCTGTTCACATCTGTTTGCTTTTTGGGGCATTTTTGTGTCCTGAATGAACATAGCGCGCTGCTTGAAGGGATTCGGACACATTTGTTCTAAAAATTGTTCATAAGCGCTCACGCGCTATTTTGCTTTTAGTCCGAATGACTTTCTCTCTATAGGATTTAAGAAAATTTAGTTGCTATGCTTGCAGTTCTCTGAATTTTTCTGGTGTTGGTTCAACACCAGGTTGAATATATCATGCCTCTGCTCAACTTCTGGTCTTTTTTCTTATGGCTACTTCTATCACCTAGCAGTTTTCTGAAATGCCCAACTACCGTTCTCGTATGACAGTGCAAATGTCATGCAAATGGAAAAAGAAAGTCGGCTCGTTGTGCCAAAATTTGTCGACATTTGGCTTTTGCATTATTTCTCTTTGCGAAAGATCGATGGTGTGCGTGCCACTGGAGTACAGATGAAGTTAGTAGAAATTGGAATGGTCATGTACTATGTGAACACGCACAAATTTTGGAATATATAGCAACTATGTGAACACGCACAAATTTTGGAATATATAGCAAATGTGCCACTGGAACAGATGAAATTGGTAGAAATTGGAATCGGTCATGTACTCGTATGAACAGGCACAAAGGGAGTATTTTTCTAAACTAGAGAGCAATTACTCCGCATGTAACCACCGGTGTTGTTGTTGGTCACATCTCTATTTAGAGGTAGTGAGCGCGTATAATGGCAAATAAGTTTGATTCTAGCGGTAAAATGGTCACAACTCTACTCAAACGCCTTGTCCTTATATCAGGCTTATGGGATCAAAAGATGAATGGAGGGTCCAAACACACCTAGAGAACCTTAGAAAATATTGAAATTAGAGAGAGAGAGGGTACAAGAATGAACGGAGAGCATTCATGATAAAACTAAACCCAACACTTGTGAAGCTCTCCTGTTTACCAGCCAGCGATGCATGCAAGGAAAAGAAATTTTCCTACATATAGAGAGGGAAAGAGAGAGTATATATATCAAATCCTGACCATGTGCGTATGTTACCCTCAATTCCTATCCTAGCAAGCATGGCCGGCTCCTCCTCTCTTGCATCGCCTCGCTCGCTACAGCTACCACTCCTCCTCCTTTTCCTCGTTGCCGCTGCCATAGGCAGCTACGACCCCAAGGCGTTCTGCTCCAAGACGACAGACGTAGCATCGTGCCTTAGGGTGTTCCCGACACTCCCAGACATCGTCACCAAGGCGCAGGACAACCAAGAGTTGTACAAACGGCTGGTCCGCTACTGCTCATTCAAGACCTACGAGGCCACGTCGCTCGCGGAATCCATGATTGCCACCACCACCGCTGCCGACCCCAAGATCAGCGCCCCCTTCTTCCCGCAGTGGAAAAGGGACGAGGCGATGACGACAAAAACACCTCCAGGCAAGTGCCTCCTGAGCTGCAACAAGACCATCGGCGAAGTTGACGCCATCCTAACCTGCGGACACACCTACATGGAAGACAGGCCCCCCATCATCCACCAGAACCTCACCGTCTTGTTCCATGGTGGCCACCCGCCGTCACTCTGCAAGAGTGGATGCCTTGACGGCTCGTCGTCAGAGGGTGAGGTCCTCCTCGCCACCAAGTTCAACTATATATGGAGCTTGTTGGATCTCATGGAAGCTGTCCTACCGGAATATCTTTCTGAGACTGGGACTGCGACGACGACGGTACCATCTCCCGACGTCGCTGCGGCGGCGGCCCCGGGCCCATGAGCAACTACATATGCATGCAGTCCCTTCGATTCGATCGACCACACCACAACAGTGCAGTGCATACACGCATATACTTACTATGTATCTAAGAAATAATTAAGATTTCACAGAGAGCATTTAAGAATCAAGTTTCACTAATTGTTGCAGTATATAGTAGCCCATTTAATTTCATCCATCAGTTAGAGTCTCACCATGTTACGGTCCGTTTTGTGCCTTTTATTCTCTCCAAAATATAGTGTTCTAATTCTTACAGTGGAATTGGATGTTCACCCCTCAAGTGCATGCACGTACTTGCTTCCCTATCACTCAAATAGTTACAAAATGTTCTGAAAAATAATTACAGCATTTATACAGCAAGCATCTATCATAACCAAACTTACGTTTTTTTTTTTGGCATGTAAAGATTGAATTTAGTTTTTAGGCATAATTGTATTCTTGCCTTTAATTACTTACTGCAATTGTGATTTTGCCTTTGCTTTTTATGGTTTGTGGTTTTGCCCTCACTTGCTGCAATTGTGATATACCAAGATATCTAAAAGAACAATATCTATCTGGCAACCAAACAACTACAAATATTGTTCCTCAGTCTTTAGTTTAGGCAAAGCAAAAAGTTCACTTTTATGGAAATTAATATTGAGGATAGGTAGTTGTTCTAAAACATATAGAAAATATTTTCAGCTTGCTCTAAATTATGATCCATATAAAAATCAGTGTATCATCCGCATACTGCACCTGTTTTATATAATCGTTAAGATGAGGTACTACTCCTGCTTTATATGATCGTTATGGGCTCGGAATAGGTGAATTAAAGGAAAATTGATTTAGAAAATAGAAAAAAAATGGTTCTACCACCTAAATAAATCACATGCCCCCGACCACATGTTCTCAAAATCATTCTGTACCCCAAACATAATGAGAGGAAGAGCAACCGGTGGCCCACAACGGTGACGGTCTAACTTCTATGGTCAGCAGGCATGGAGCTGAGTTGGTGGTGCTAGTGCACTGTGTGGTGTTGTGCATATAGCAAGATGGCAAGGTGCATGCAGGTCGGGCCAGTATGGCTAGATGGGCAGGGTTAGTGAGGAGGGGCTTACGTGGCTCGGTATCCAGAAGTAGGGGAGGGCTCCTCCGCACATGCGCCACAGTTCGTGGGAAATGACGACATATATGGGCCACTATTGTACGATCGAATAAGACCAAACAAACATACCAGAGAGGGTGAATAGTAGAGAAAACAAAAAAACCCAAAAACTTTTAGTGAAAATAAAAGTTACCTTCAAATTGATAGAGATCTCGACATAGCCCATCTTGTCTATCATGTAAGCGATATCTTGTGAGAGTGAGTGCAGCCGAGGAGAAGATTACCGCCTGATAAAGCTTTCCCTAATTGATTTTAAGGTGAGAAATTCTAACTTGGTCCACCTTCAAGTGTATCTTCTACTATTTATTTTGTTGTGTATTTTCTTGGACATATGAGAATTAACCTGCAGATATTTTATATTCATCTTTGCCTCAGGAAGCTTTGGTGAGATTGCTATTGTTGCTGGTGGGTGTGATAAGAATGGACAGGTGCTGAAATCTGCCGAGCTGTACAATTCAGAGACTGGTCATTGGGAGACTTTACCAGACATGAACTTGGCGAGGAGGCTCTCATCCGGTTTCTTCTTGGATGGTTTCTACAGGTTTATGTTGTCTTTGATTTACTAATGACAAACATGATTAATAGCTGCGTTAATTACATGTTCTTGGAACTAATTCTCCGGTAATTACAAAATTCCAATTCACCGGCCGACTAAAATCATGACCCTTTTGTGCCCGAATGATCTTAATTTTCCCCTTTTCTTTTACCAGTTTCCAAGCCTGCTGGATTTCCCGACCATCCGCATAGAGGATTCGAGACCATCACCTACATGCTCGACGTACGGATGATTAAACTTCTTGTTGTTGTTGTTTCATTTCATCTTACAGGTAGATGATGCCTTAATTATTGCCTTTTTATTCATTTTAGATGATATAGGCAATTGTCAAAGTTGCATCTGCCTGCAGCGAAAGTAATCCCTATCCCTATGTTTTGTGGTTCTCCCTGTTTTTTGTATTAGTCATTGAGAAGTGCCATCAGGCTTAGTTCTACTCGATGTCAATAAAATTCAGAGTCATCTTCCTGTTCCTCTTTTTTGTAGAGTATAAGGATATTGTGATCGAAAAGAGTTTAGGCACTGTGATTTGGCTTCTAAAGAGACCTCATGGTTTTGAGGCATCAAAACAAAAGGCTCATTCATTCTGTTGTGCATGAAACCAATTGGTCTAATTCCTGTGTCTGTAGATTCTATAGTTTCAAACTGCAGCAAAGAACAGACTACAATTATAGAAATGTTGGCTTCCCAGTTCGTAATGAAGATGTGCGTATCCCAGTGAACTGTACTCTCAGTGTCTGTAGTTTTAATCTACATTGGTGGCAATGTCTACCTTATAATCTTACAAACTTCAGTCACAAAATAATCTTGCTACCTGATTTTAGGTTCTAACATTGTGTTTTTCAGAACATCCATGAATAGGAGTGAAGCATCTGTGCTGGTAATGATTGCTAAGCCTAAAGTATTTACTTTTCCTTTTTCATTATATGCTCTTCTCGGTGTCATTGTGCCTTTTTTATTGACATTCTAAAAAGTTGCTCAAGTTACATTGTTGACTGTTTTTGACCATATTGAGATAATGAGAAATCAGAGATATATATAGCAATGTGTGGCTTAATTTGGCTTATATGAGAGCATTGCTACTGGTAAAAGTACCTAGCGAAAAATATTGCTCATGGTAAACTACCTGCACAATTTCACTAGTACCTTTTGTGATGCAGTAGTTGTTTATGCACTAAATGGTGGCCTCTGTTCCTGAAGGTCCAGTCCTATATTTTTGCTAGGTTGATCCAAATATGCTGATGTTCTTATTTCGATCTATATAATTGAGCATTTGGTCCTCTTTCCCATTAATTGTACTATGTTTTGGTTTAGCATGTGATATTAATTCAGTTTCTAGCTATATTGATCTTCCAGTTTCTTACAAGCTTATCACAATTGCAGGTTTAATTATACATTCAAGCATCAACTTCAGGATCTGTACCATCTATGTATATCATCTTTCTGTTATTGATTGATCAACCAAATAAATATGTTCCTAGCTATTGTAACTTTGGTTATTGCTTTAACTGACATGAACCATGAATTGCTTGTATGCTAATTATTAATTGTAACCTCTTTACTGAAATATATATTTCTGTTGGAATGTGTTGTGCTCTTGTGTGCTTGTTGGTGGTTTATATTGTGATGGAAATAAGCTCTGATGGATATAGTAAACAAATTGCAAATAGCATATATATTTTTTTATCACCACATGTTCTCTTACCGGGTGCTTCAAACACGGTAACGCACCACATGTTACCGGGTGAATGAAACACGGTAACACACCAAATGTTACCGTGTGTGAAGGACACTCGGTAAGCCACCGGTCCGTTAGGAGCTCCGTTACACGAGTCCAGCTACGCACGGCAGCCTTACCGTGTGCTCACACACGGTATGTGTTTTGGCCTTCCCGTGCGCATAATCGTAAAACACCCGGGAAGTGCGCACGGTAAACTGACGAAGCCGCCGAGTAGCTGTTCCCGTGCACTAGCACCTGGTAACGTCGTTACCGTGTGTTTTGAGCACACGGGAGCGTGGGACCCACATGTCATTTCCATCTTCCTTCATCCTCCCATCTTTTTCCTTCCCATCTCTCTCCACCTTGTTTCAAATGAGGCAACCAGCAGGGAGGGTGCGTTTCTATGTCACCGTCAGCAGCGTGACCATCTCCGGCATCTGCGCCTCCTAAAATTTCAGAACTCGGTTTCTTTTTCCTTCTCTATTTGCACCTTTTTTTTTCACTCTATTTGCAGGTAGCAAGCAGCTGGCGAGCTCGGCAACCTTTGCTCGTCCCTGCGATTAGCGCCAGCACCACGCGAGGCGGCCTGCGGCAGTGCGGCCAGGATAGCGTCACTGATCATGAGCAGACAAGCAACGACGAGCCGACGAGGATCCATGATGATGGCGGCGTCATAAATGAGTGTTGGTGCTGGAGCACCTGTTAGAAATATGGTCACAATTCAGTATATTTTAATCCAAAATATTAAGATAATAAATATAACTTTTGCAGGGAGTTAACTAGTGATCAAAAGTAGCAAACCTGAGATCATGCTTAGTAAAGGATAAGCATAGATATTTGTCACATGGGAATGCAATGAAAACATTGTACCTAACAGTAATATATGAGAAAGGAACGTAAACGCAATGAAAACAGAGTTATACCCTGAGAATGGCCCTCCGCTGGTGTTTGAGGCAATACTGCCTCCGCTGGTGTTGATATTCGTGGTGTTGTTGCCTCCGTAGACATGGTTGAAGTTGACGCCGACGACGAACATGAAAAGAAGATGAAACGCGAGCAGTCGTGCGAAAGCACTCCCCAAAAAACTGATCGCCCGCCTACCCGTATAGGTACTTAGGCAAAGGCGTGGTTCCGGAGGCCCTGCTCGTCCCGATCACTTGTGTGCACGCGATCAGAATCGAGGAGTACAGAAGCAGCACAGGAACAGATGGAAGATGAACCACCGCAGAGTAAACGATGAGGAGTAAACGAGATCGGACGTGGAGTAAACCTCCTCTCGTCTCATCTCTGTGATTCTTATAATGCGCAGGAGGGAAGGGGAAGTGGACGAGAATTAAGTTGAGATTCCGCCTCCGTTACCGCAGTAACAATGTAATCAATCAAGGAATTAAGTTGAGATACTCCACTTTTAATCTCTAAGGTGGTATTATTGTCCCTAGCATTAATTGTGGGCCCTTGAGATTTTAATTGAATTAAATTGGGCCTAGCCCATTTATTCCAACAGCACCTCGTCACCAGATCTACCGTTGCCGCTTCTTGCTCCACCATCGTCGCCGCTGCCACTTGCTCCACCATTGTCGCTTCCGCGTGCATGCCGAGTGCCCTGGTGCTTGCGCTGTAAAAGCTCACAGCGGCAGGCACCGTCAATGCTCGCAGCGGCCATGGATGGATGGACGATGGTGGTGGGTAAGAATGAAGATGGGAAGAGAGAAGGAAGAAAACGAAGGAGGAAAGAGATGGATGAAAAACTTGACGGTAGTGGCACGATTCTAATTGTAAAATTACAATTGCACAAATATAAATAAACGAATTGTAATGGTATTTTTCTAAAATGATATATTTGCAATGGCATAATTGAATTAACCCATTTCCAAACGTGAAGTTACTACAAGAATCTATTTAATCTGTGACGAAATTTGATGAAATTTTCTTGATGTTTTCAGAGATCGTCACGGATATGCAACTATGGATACAAGGCCCATAATACTGTTTATCGATTTCTTCATAAACCGGCCCAAAACCTGTGACGTTATAGCAATTCGTCGCAATTTGCAAATATAATATTAAATACTTGAAAACCATATAAGAAATATGTAAATTTTGTGAATAATATTACTATCACTTTATCGGATGAAGAAATGACCAAAATAAAAGTTATACATATTGATGAGTTATACAATTTTGATGTTGATGACCTTTTCAGTTGAAATCATTTAGTATTTGAAAATGTTTTTTAAATTTGTCATAATTTGAAATTCAAATTCAAATTATTGAAACAGAGTCATAAAGGAAAAATGACCAAACTAAAAGTTATATATATTGATGAGTTATACAACCTTGATCTTGATGCCTTTTTCAGTTGAAATCATTTAGTATTTGAAAATGTTGTTTGAAGTTGTCATAATTTGAAATTCAAATTCAAATTATTGAAAATAGAGTCATATAGAAAAATGACCAAAACAAAAGCTGTAGATATTGATGATTTATACAACTTTGTTGTTGATGACTTTTTCAGTTGAAATCATTTATTATTTGAAAATGTTATTTGAAGTTGACGTAATTTGAAATTCAAATATTATATAGGCCAATCAAACTCAGATGGAGAAATAACCAAAATAAAATTGGTAGATCTCAATAAGTTATACAACTTTGTTTTAATATTTTAAAATTAATTGAAAGGAGGGACGCAAAATGGACTTCTCGGCGAGGGATGAGCAAAAGGGCTGGCCTGTAACAGGCCTTTTTCTCATCCCTCGCCGAGAAGTTTATTTGCCACCCTCCTTTCAATTAATTTCAAAAGGTAGCTTTCCCCAAAAAATTATGGTATTGCCCTCTCCGGCTATTTGGCAATCTAGCTACCTTTTGTAATCCAGGGAGTTGACCCTCAGAAGCTCATATTGGCTCATAACAACCTTGAGGTGTTGCGTGAAGACCTCAGAAATTTATCTTCGTTTTTTCTTACAGTGATTTATACCGGGAAGAAAACAACAATTGTCCAGTAACTGAGCTGTCCCTTGTATATTCTAGACCTACATCCTGCGTTAGCATACTAAATTTATTAGTTTTGCAATTGGAACCCGACAATGTTTTCAGTTAACTTGAGAATAAAAGTACACCATACATATTAGTGTTTCATATTTTCATCCAGAAATTGACCTTGATGCAATCCTTTAGTAAGTATGTAAACCTTATGTTTCTTTCATTTGCTATGTGTAATCAAACCTGGGCAAAATTTGCATTGCCTCTTCATGGCACACTACATGCTTCCTTTTGAACATTTGGAAATAGTCCAAATTATCCAATCAAAGAACTAGTATATGTGATAACTAAATTGCTGAATATTTTCCTATGAGATTGATTGATCTAATATCATGCCACTGCCTTATATCGGTTTGTTTTTAATTTAGTTATCCTTTTGTTTGCAGGTTGTGGGCAATGATGGTTCTGTATCCTTTTGCCATAATGTAGTATGTAGTAATGTTTCTGCAGTACATTAGCATTTTAATTGAATTTTCTGTTTCTCTGAATCTCATAAGCTAACTGCTAATTTCAGCCGGTTTTATACAGTTAGGAAAAGTGGTTTGTTGTTTTAGTCCTGCATCTTTCCCTCGCAAAATGTTTGTTTTGGCTGGCTAATATAACTAACTCTTGTGATGAGAAAATGCCAAGTATTGATGGAAGTCTGCGGTTCCATGCTTTTTCTGAGTATTCTTCCAATCAACATACTGTATACACCATGGGCATGGCCTATTATAGTAGATACATGTAGTATTTTCTCTGTAATATTCACAGATTCTTAATAGTTTGGTCTTCAAGATTTCAATCAAGCACAATCCTTGACTAAGCCTAGCTTCTTCCGTGTGCAATTAATGCTTCCTGCGCAGCCCTTGTTTTTGCTGGCATCCCCTTGACACATCTTGCAGGTAAGTTAGTAATCTTTGCATGCTCATTGAAGAAATATATCTCATAAGCTTGTGTGATGCAGTTGCAATCGGTTGTGGAGTACTGGAGGATGGTGAAGTGATTTTGGACGCAAACAAAGCAGAAGAGCAGGTAGAAATTTCTCGTTTTTATTAATGGTCTTTTGGCTTTCTTGAAGCCTTGGAGTAGAACAGTAGAAGAAACTAGGATGATATGACAGTTACTGATGTTTTATCTTGTGCATATGCAGTGCTGCTAAGCTCACTTGGAAGATTTTGGTCATGCGACATCCGGTGAAATTTTGGTTGCTGTGATTGTATTTGGAATGTGACTGGATTTGGCTGTTAACCGTGTTGTAAATTTTGTGTTGTATTGGATGTTAGTCGAGTTGTGTGGTTTGAATCTGAGATGGTATGAGAAATTAGATTGAATTTGGTGGGCTCAAATTTAATGGGTCTGTTTAGGGGGCTTTGATATGATAGTTGGTTGACAAAATAGGCCAGTTCTAAAATGGGTCTAGTTCTAAAATAGTCCTATTTTAAAATGGGCCAGTTCTAAAAAAATAATGGGCCGCTGTTAAATAATTTATGGACCAATGTAAAAAATTAATGGACCATCAAAAAAATAATGGGATGTTAAAAAAATAATGTAACACGAATTTTTTGCAAATTTTTTGAAATCACGCCCACCCTTGCCTGGGAGCGTCGGCTAGAGAAAAGCTATACTACAGATCAAGCAGTTACCCATTCCCGCTTGTGGCAAGCGCTGTATGTCTTCCAATGCATCCCGCGAACCGGTCCTTAATTACCATGGGCGCGACTTGCAAAACCATGCACCCACAGCCCACCGTAGAATCGCATTTTAGTTGGATAACTACGACCATGAAACATTGTCGGATGTCTCGAGCACACAGCTCGTTCTGAAACTAACTGGTCTAATACTGCAATTATCCCATCAACTGAGCTATTGATAATTAAGCATGGCTAAGCATATAGTTCTAGCTAGGTCACATAAGTAACACGAGCTAGTCGATTTATTACCTAAGGTAACAAAGAACGGATATCAAGTAAACATGGCACAAGCGAGCAGATAGGTAATACCCGGATCCCATGTAATTAGCAAAATAATGCATGTTTATTTGCAAAAAGTAAAACATTTATAAAGTAGGCTCAATATGCTCAAGGGGAATGTGTGACTTGCCTTGCTTCTTCAAACAATCTTTTGAACTCTTTTCCTCGTGACCGCGGACTTCCGAAATGACGGATTCTACACGCTAGCACGCAAAACGAGGAAAAACTCTAATAAAAACCAAATAAACAGTAAAAAAAGTAAACATACATGTAGAGCTCAATTTTAGATGAATTTTGCAAGTTGAATGGCCCAATTCAGAGTTCGTATGAATTAGATATGAATTTTGGAAGTTTTGAGCCATTTAATTGGATTTCTAGAATTATTATCGAATTATTGTGCAATTATCAATTATTTTTACAAAGGAAAAAGCTAGGCGTTGACGTCATCAAAGAGGGGGCCGGCGCCGACATGCGAGCCCTACACGTCAGCGGCAAAGGGGAGAGCGCACGGTGGACACGGTCCACCGGGGCGGCACAGTGGACCGAGACCACGGGAGTGGTCCACGGGCGGCCACGGGCAGGGCAGCCAGGGCACGGGCGCGCCCGACCAACCCGCCGAGCGGCGGCGAACGGCGGTGGCGGCGCGCAAAAGGGCGGCCGGCGAAGGGGAGAGAGGAAAAGGGAGGGGGAGTGCTCACCGAGGGGCACGGCAATGGAGGGAGGCGGCCGATGGAGGGAGGCGGCAGCGGGCTCCTCGGGGTGAGGACGACGGCGGCGGTCCGACGGCGTACTGCAGGCGCGAGGCGGCGGACAGCGATCGGCATGACCTGGGGAGTGCAGTGGCAGGGTTAGGAGAAAGGGAAAATGCGCGAGGAGACGGGGAAAAGTGGCCGGAGGCCGGCAGATTGAGGCGAAGCTCACCTCAATGGGGAGAAGAAGGCTGCAGCGGCGATTGGAGCCAGTGGAGCGGTGGCCGACCTTGTCCTCACGGTGGTGGAGCTAATGGTGGTCGTGGCATGACTTGGGGTGGTCGCGAGCGGCGACGAGCGGCAGCCGGAGGTGGCAATTGGCCGTGGCGGCTCGGGTTCGCGGTGGGAGCAGTGCTTCGGGGGTGGAGGAGGGAGATGGAGTGGATGCCGAGCTGCGCACGATGGCTGCGGTGCCGGGGAAGGCGACAGCGCAGCGCGAGGTGGACCAGAGAGGTGACGCGGCGCGGCTGGAGGCGGTAATGGTGGAGGTGGCACGGGATGCACGGTGGAAGGGTGGTTGCGGCGATGGAATGGGGAAACGGAGCGAAGGCCGGGTGCGGCACGGCGAGGCGAAGCCTACGGCACAAACGGCGCGGCGCGGCGGTGGCTACAGCAACGGCAGCGTGCAGCCGGAGCTCGCCGGCGGGCGGCGGCGCGCGGGGCGGCGTGGGGAGAGCGGTAGGGAGTGCGGCGGCTTCGGGAAAATTGGGGAAAAGGGGGAGGATGGCACGGGGATCATTTTTATAGGCTCAGGGAGGAGAAATCGTGGCCGGACGTGGCGGATTTGGGGCGGCATCGGCCGGCGACGTGGAGCTCAACGTGGGCGGAGTGGGGACTCGATTTGGCGCCAAAAATTGGGGAAAAGTGGGGGATTTGGTGGAGGAGATGGAGGGGAACCGGTTTCACTTGGTTTGGGCATGAGGGCGCGAGCGGGAGTGGCCGATTTGGGGCGGAATCGGTGGACAAAGTGGCGGCGTGGGCGGCCTTGGAGCGGTTTCGGCCAGGGAGTCCGAAGGTAGGAGGAGCTCCTGACAGGTGGGGCCCATGGGTCCACCTGTCGGCTAAGGGAGAGAGAGGAGGGAGCCAGGGGGTTATGTGGACTTTGAGTGAGGGGGAGTGACTGGGCCGGCGGCCCAAGAGTGGAGGGGGGAGGCTGGCCCGAGGGGGAGGGGGGACTTCTTGGGCCAAAAACGGCCCAAAGACAAGGAATGAGATTCAAATTTGTTTTCTTTTTATTTTACTTGATTAAATGAACTTTGTTCTTTTAAAATTATTTCTTGAGCTCCGAAAATTCACGGAGAATTTCAGAGAGTATTTTAGGGCGCAAAGAATATTACAAAATATTCTCGGCCAATGATTTTTAAGGGAAAAATTTTAATTCTCCCATTATTTCACTTGATTAAATTGCTTAAATTTTTATTTAATTTCTGGAAAATACATTATTAATTGATTATTAATCCCG